TATCATCTGGTAGTAATCTACAAATTATTGCATGGATTCTGTTTTTGCTGAAAGATTTAGCTCCACGGTGGGTGAGACCAAATACAGAGCGTGGATCAGACTCGTTCTTCCCTTGCAATTTGGAAGGATAACTACCAGACACAGCTAATTTGTCTCTGCTGCCTGCAGACACTCATATTTTGCAGTTTTGAAAACACAGGAATTGTTTTTGAGGAGAGCTTTGGAGCTGCAGCGCTTCCAATAATGGTCATCCAATTGGAGTCTACAGCAACACTTTCACTGTCAGCTTTTGCGTTTCTGTAAATACTTTTTCCTGGTCTGTCTTCTTGACAGTCAGGCGAGCTACAGAATGCGGCCACGTGTCTTCTTAATTGCTTGATGTATTAATCAAAAACAACTGCATAAAATTCAAATTTGGAAGCTCTTCCAAGTTCCTCAAGAGGAATAATGGGAAGTGTTGTGACTAATCAGATCACACTTGCCTACACCAACTGGCCCCATCCACCAATCCCATCACCAGGTCTGGCCTTGCTTACACAAAGCCAGATGTTTGTCCTCATTGGATGGCTAAAGAATAAACCAACTGTTCCAGTCAGTAGATGAAAAAGACAAACCAATTGTGTGACCAGCACCTGGCAGCCTCTCTACTCCCCTCGTCACACTTCGCTTGTTTTGGCCCTATGTGGTGGCCATGGGCTTTATGGCCTTCTGTAGCTTGCATCCCACCTGCTATACTGCTCTGTTTCCTCGACGTATTCCTGCATAGTGAGAGCAGTGAAATCTTCACACTCAAGGACGTGGACAGGAACACCTGACAAAACTATAATGACAACAACACAGTTCCCACAATTGGCAGAACCAGTAGCGTGAAACTATTTCTTTGTGTTACAAACATCTGCCAGGTATTCTGATTAAGTTGCAAACACCACATTTTTATGCCTCTGAGAAGGTCTGTTACATTCTTCTGAGCGCGATATCTCTTGAACACCTTCACAGAATCTCTTCGGATTTGGTACAAAGGTTCACTTGGACTCAAGGATGAGCTGATTAGAATTTGGCTCTCAAAGGTCAACATCATTGTGACCTTAAATCCGCCCCTTTCTTTTGAATGCAGTATATTAGGAACATCTGGAGGGAACTTCATTACATCTGAAATAAAAAGATGACTCAAAGATAAACAAATCAGAATTAAGGGGTCACATATTACTGTAAACCTACAAAGCACGTCTTCAGCCATAACTGAAGAATTCATACGCAAATTATGACATGATTTTACGCAAATGTCTACAAGGATGAAATAATTAAGAGATCCAAAAGGACAAGTCTGATCAGATATTGATGTAAACTACATCTTGACTTGCTGACGGAAGCCTTGAACCATGACTGCTACATACACTGTACTGCACTGATATATTTATTGGAATATCTTCTTCTTTACAAGACATTATACGACAAAGTTATTTGAAATTCACCATATCAGCTAACTACAAAATGTGACTGTACATTTTAGACCTATACTGAAAATTTCTGTTTATAACAACTGCATTTTGTCCACTGCCTGATTTGCTCTGAGTAGTTTGATCCCAATATGGTGCAGCCATATTGCCAGAGACATAAAGCTGTTTCGAATTTATACATAAGAGAAGAACAGCCAAGATTATGCCGTTTGTAGAGTTTGTCATGGCCTCTTCACAGTCACAATGGACACATAGTGGGTGGGTGGATGAGTGAATGAATGAATGAAGTATGTGTAAGTTTATTTCCTGATACATTAGATGCCCGCTCATCTACAAATCCGGCAAATCATTATGCGCCAGCTTAAACAAGAGACTCTAACACAAATAACAAGTGACCGATACAAAACAACAATATGCATAAAATGTCATGTCGCCGCCTGGGTCACTTAGGACAAAAGCTGCGGCGCTGTAGGCTGTTCAAAGCCGATGGAAAAGACTAAAGCGTCTTTGATGAAGGACAGAGTGAAAACGCTGAGCAGAGGAGGAGGAATCCTGCATGGTTTGCACAGAAAGGCACACACATACCAGGGATACAAAGAATTACATTTCACAGTGTTTCTTGCCACTTAATTATCCTCTCACGATGGGCCTGCACTTGTGGATGAAAAGGATTCTCTTCTGTATACAACACTGCCTCTCCACATGACAACATGGTGGTTTAGCCACTCTGTCTGTCCTGCTCCCTGCTTCTGTCTCATCTCACAAGATGACCCTCATTACTCTTCTGTCTGTTCTGCTGTTACCAGAAGTAGAAGGAGGCACTTTGTTTATGTTGAGACAAGGTGCTTTGAGAGATAAAGATGAGTGGAGGGGAAGAGATTCTGACCTTTTGCCTTTGCTGACACACTTTCTTCATTGATTTGGAACTGGTGTTCAGGATTGCTATTATAGGATAGAATGTTTCCTTCCTTGGTGGTAACTGCTGTAAATAAAATATAGTGGATTGAAGTTTGATTGAGAGAGAGGAGGAAAGACTGGAGGGGGGGGGGTTATGTTGCTAATTATGCTTGGCGATTGTTGATGGCTTGATTGTCTGCGTCCAGCTGCACGGAGGAGCTGGGAGAGGGAGAGGGAGGGCGGGGAGAGAGGCAGACTGACTGACGCCGGGCTCGGAATTCTCCCATCCATTGAAAGAGAGACCCGATTGTGTCCGGGGCCTTCCAACAAGCACCTGATCCCTGCCCAGACACACTAGTGCGTGTGTGTGTGTGTGTGTGTTTCGCACAGATTTACGCACTGGGAACTCTGGAATCTGCAGCCATGCACCGGGTATCAGAGGAAAATACTCTAGTGGCGTGTTTTGTTTTTTTGACATCTTAGAAATAGCTCCTAAAAATTACGACGAATTGGCAAGCAGTGTTTTCTGTGGATCAGATTGGTGACTAAATTTAGGCCTGTTGTACCAAACCCCAAATCTTTGCCCCATTCCTGTTTGCTCAGTAAGTGAGTACAAACTATTATTTTCCCACCGGACATGGAAAATTTAAAGCATTTTTTTCCTCCCCCTGATATATTTAAGGAAGATATTTAAGGTCAAAGTCTTGTTTGGACACTCTGCGCCACTCACATAATATATCTTTAAATTAGCACTGGATCGAAGTCCTGTCTCACGGTTCAATATTGTGGTTTGTTCTGAAGTGAGGTCACTCAGTGACTTGTCATGCAGGGTCAATGGTTGTGGGGTGGAGGAGGAGGAGGGTCGGTGCCAGGAGGAAGACAGTGACTCAAACATCTGCTAAACCTCTGCATAATTGGGAGGATATCTCCGGCTGTGCACATTTACGCACAGAGTGAAGATAAGAATATGGCGTGCTTGTGTTTGTACAGCTTAAAGATTGTGTTACATTTGATCCATTACGATTGTAGCATGTGTTGCGATATAAAGTTAAACTTGCTGCCAACTTTGCAGTAGTTAAAACGTGATAGAGACAGATTGTTCATTCCCTCACTTTTGAGTGGGTGAGACTTTCAAAGCGGTTGCAAAAGAGAGGCTACTATTCTGGCACATGCCCATTATTGAGGGATCACACTAAGTACATGTCCAAAAACTTTTTTTTTTTCTTATTGTCTTGACAGCATAAAGTTAAAATTGGATGCTGTCTGTTGAGACGGAGCACTGCTGTCCTGTCATTTTTTATTTACCTCTCTGAGAAATCCAGCGTACTCATCATGACAAAAAAAAAAAAAAAAAACGTTGTGGAGTACTTGGAAAGGTTTTCCTCTTCATTTTCTGAGAGTGCAACTACAGAACCCAATTAGAGAAGCGTGGGGAGGGAGATGAGCGTTGAGTGACAGAACCGCTCAGCCAATCGGATCTTCGAGCGCCTCTGTTTCTCTCGCATGCGATGGTTCACGGGGGAGGGCGGGCCGTCTGCCAAAGAGGGGAGTGCGCGTCGGGGTGAATGGATGACGTCGGGAGGCTGGCGCCAGCATGTCTGGGACTGGCGCGTTAGATCAACACAGCTGGGCCGGGATAGGACACACAGCTGGCTCAGGCCTGCATTCCTCCACAAAACAGGATTGTGAGAAAAGGGGAAAATAAGACCCAAATAGGAGCAGAACGGGACGTGCTTTGATGTAAACTGAGAGAGAGCAACATTTGGAATTGTTAAAATATAACTTGTGTGAAACTGCTTCGCTCAAAGGAGTTTAAATTTTGGCATTGAGAGACTTGACAGCTTAGGCACATGTAGTCTTAATGCTATATATAGTAGACTTAAAATATATATATATATATTACTCCTGGCATTTGATGAGGCTGAGTGCCGACATAAGCTGTCCATACATAAATAGTCAACACATTTATCCAAAAGTCTATCAAATGACTGGTCAGTGTCAGATGTAATATTACGTTCTTAGCAGCTGTAGAATTGAGCTGCCATTCCACAGACCTTTCACCTGCCTTACTGGCTACATTATTATGTTTTTTATTTTATTTAATGTTTTATTTATTCACACGTTTTTTTCGGTGTGTAAACAGTGTGGCAGCTCATGTGAACCAGATTTACATAAGACTTAGTAAGATGAATTTTGTTTTTTCTTTCTGGGGTTTGGACAGTAACACAGTGGAGAGACATTCTGAAGGCCACATTCTGATGATTGAAACTGAGACTTGGGACAAAAACAAGTAAAATCCATCATTTAAAAGCTCTTTTTTTATCACTCCCAATGAAAAGCAGTTTTAAAAGTTGAGTCATTTTGTTTTTAAATCCTTCTACACTTCTAAAGAGTACTACTTTTGGGAGCTTTATCTATTTCAAGTAAATACCACCAATAGAAAACGATGGTTAACTAATTGATTGACAATCCCCTTCGGGCATCCCAACCTAATTTCCTCATTCTTTCCAGCCCTTCCACAAGGTGATATCAGCCAATAATACCGGGCTCGGGCTTTACGCTGGCCAATCACAGCGCGGTGCGAGGAATGGGGCGTCTGCAGGCGCGCAGTGTATAAAGAGCTAACTGTAGGTCGCTGTCACAGTACTGGAGCTGTTCAGGAGGAGACCGTCATAAGCTCGCAATCCAAAACCGACAAGATCTCTTGTTGTTGTTTTTTGTTTTTTGTTGTTGTTGTTGTTTTTCACCATGAAAGCCATCAGTCCCGTCCGCTCGGTGAGGAGCTGCTACAAGGCCGTGTGCTGCATTTCGGAGCAGAGTCTCGCCATCAGCCGGAATAAACACTCGTGTCTGGACGAACCCGTGGGCGCCCTGTGCGACATGAACGACTGCTACTCCAAGCTGAAGGAGCTGGTGCCGAGCATTCCACAGAACAAGTCGGTTAGCCAGATGGAGATCCTCCAGCACGTCATCGACTACATCTTCGACCTACAGATCGCGCTGGAGGCGGAGGACGCAGCCGCGCCGGAGATGGTTTTGTCAATAAAGGTGAGGAGGAGGGGGGAGACGCGGGCTGCAGGGTGGACTGATGCTCGTCCTTCAACATCCTCCAGACACTGACATCCACTGAGAGCGTTTTCTTTTTATGACTCACAAAAAAAAATATTGTTGTTTTTTGTTTTGTTTTTACATTTTAAAAAAAATTATTGGAAATCCATGATCTGTGAATTTTGTAAAGTTTAAGCCCCAGTATATATACTGTATTTTTTTCATATATGCATGCATGCATATGGGAAGAGATATACTCTATTGTGACACAACGGCAGATGTTTTTTGAGATTCTTATATTCATTGGAATACGGTTATTACCAGCGTTTTAAACTGCTTTTCTTTTCTTTTTTTCCTTCAGACAGCGGATCTTACGCGCAATTTCTCCAAAGAAGAAGGACGGTTGTGCCAGTAGGATGATAAAGGCAGATTCTGGTACGTAGTTTATTATTTCTTAATCAATCCTAATAGCTTGTTAATTCAACTGAACTGCCAGAGTAATGTTTTGGAGACGTACAATCGCGGCCCATTCGCTCCGAATCACGTTCATCTGTGGCTTTATTTTTGCTTAACGCATCAAAGAAGTTAAATGAAGACTTTAAATACCACAGAGAATAGTATCAGCATTGATGCTGCTAGAAAATAAAATCTCCCACTCCTTCCACTTTCACCACGGTTGCCAATTAGACAGGCCAATGATTGTGTAGCGGATTCATTGCTATCTGCCTGGGGTTAATGAAAGTTCCATGCTCGGCGCCAGTCTGTCTGCTCCCCTCTGCAGGGAGGGAGAAAGGGGAGGGCGAGAGGGAGAGATCTGACTTCACTTTTCTTCCTTTCTCTCCATGCAGGTGCAGGGAAACACATGTCTCCACTTCACTCCGGGCAAGAGGACAAGAGGGGCAGAAAGGGTGGGATAGGTATTTGGGAGAAAGAGAAGGAGAAGAAAAAAGGAGGAGGAGGAGGAGGAGGTGGAGGGTTTAAAGAAAAGAAGGAGAAAAAAGTGGACTTAAAGAAAAGAAGGAGAAAAAAGTGGACTGTTTCCTAGATGAGTGGGGATCAACAGTAGTGCATGAGCAAGGAAACAGAGACTCATTCTTAGGCCTGGACAGACAAATCAACACACCAAAGCAGAAGCCAGGACTGGAAACTGAAAACGACCATTTTTGTCTGCCTTCCTCTCAAACCTGGGATTCGTTATACATACAAGTAGAAATATTGGTACTTTGTCATTTTTTATCTCGTTTTGTTTTTGTATTGCATTCCAACCTATTTGTGGGTTGATCTCCACACCCAACCTGAACCTTACCTACATCAAGTCTTATATCACCTCACATAATTATCACACACACACACACACCCAAAATAATGTTTTCTAATGATCTTGAGACTGTTAAAACTTCTTAAGAATGTGTACATATCTGCTGTGGGTATGTAAGGTGTGAGTCAATATTTTTGTGAATGGGAGTTTTGTTAGGTATAATCAGAACTCTATACTAGAGTTAATTGTAAATGTTTGTAGGGATTGTGTTATTTCTACAGACAAATGTGCCGTGAGTTTCATAAACTCTTTATTATAAAGTTTGCTTTGTATGTATGTTCTTATGTAATGAAATAAAAAAGACAAAGAAAAAAAAACAATTTGGCGGCTGTGGTGTTTTTGGTGTGAAGCAATGAATGAGTTTAAACTGGTTGCGTCTTTTGGAAGGTAACACTGACGCTTTGGATGACGGTGAAATGCTGATACAACAGGATGTGCTCAGATGAATCTTGAGGTCAAGTGGTTGGAAATCAAACAAAGGGAGTTTCCTGTGAGTGCTTCTATTTTTCCAGAGAAAGAGCGAACACCAGTTTGAAGCACTGATCATAAACCGATTGTTCTGCTCATTCATTAGTTGTTATCAACAGTCATGACACATCAGCATGTACAATAGGTTCTCTGAGGTAACATTCATCAAGAAAACTCCCAGTGAGTACATTTTTCTAGACCTTTCATAAACCTCACGTGTGTACGAGTGTAACTAGTTTAAAGCCTCATTTCCGGCATCATTAATTACAGAAAGTTTCAAAGCAGTGTTCTAATAATACATGCCCAATGTGGGATATGTTACTGTAGTTATCTGCTCTGAAAAGCTGAGAAAACTGCTGTCTTGTGGATTCACCTAGAATTTTAGGAATTACATGCTGGCATTTACCACCAGCACTTCATCTGGATCTTTTGTTACCCGTTACTTTTGTGATGCTTATCTTTTTATTTATAATATTGCAAAACTGAATGGAAGACAACAAGCAAAAACAGAATTCTGCAGTGTGCTGAAGAGCTGAACAAGGTGACCTATTTCTAACCTTCATCCTTCTGAGAATAATGAAACTGCAGCTCCATCTAGTGGTACACATGCAGTACTGGACCTCAGACATATGGTCGTCCTCAAATTTATCCATACCCTTCCATTAAAGAAAAGAAAAAAAAATCACAATAGTCACTCAAATAACTAGACAGTGAAAAAAGTAATAAAAAATAAAAATTTGCTAGATTGTAATTTCGTGAAATAAGACATTGCTTTTGAATTGTGGTTGAAAGAATAATTTAAAAAAAAACAAATCTGTCCTGGACAAATTAGAGCACTTTGCTGATGAGCAGTGGGCCAAAATCAAAATACCTGTCAACAGGTGCACAAGTGTGATTAAGAGTTACAGAAAACACTTGATTGCAGTGATTGCCTCAAAGTGTTGTTCAACAAAATGTTAGTTTACGGGTCCAATCAGCTTTATACAGACATATATAGACCCTTTCCAAAAAATTAGAATATCATGGAAAAGTTGTTTAATTTCCATAATTCCATTCAAATAGTTAAACTTTCATAGATTATAGATTCAGGGTCCACAATTTAAATGATTTCAAGTGTTTATTTGTTTATTTTTACATAATTTGGGCTTCCAGCTCATAAAACCCACGAAAACAGGAATTCAAAAAATTTGAATACTGTGAAGAAATCAGCCCAAATTGTGCAGGGCATGAATGTTTTAAACTGAGTGTCACACACTAATCATCTACTAAACTCAAAGCACCTGCACAGGTTTCCCCAGGTGTCATTAAATTGCTTCAGTTTGGTTCAATTGTTTCAGTTCGGTTCAATATGGGGAAGACTGCAGACTTGACAACTGGCCAGAAGACCATCATTGATACCCTCTATAGGATGGGTAAGTCACAAATGTTCATAGCTAAGGAGGCTGGCTGTTCACAGAGTGCTGTGTCCAAGCATATCAATGGAAAGTCTAGTGGAAGGGCAAAATGTGGCAGGAGAAGATGCACCAGCAAAAGAGATGACCGTGGGCTTCAGTGGATTATCAAACAGACAAGATTCAAGAATCTGGAAGAGATCCAGAAAGAGTGGAATGAGGCGGGAGTCACAGCTTCAAAAACCATCACATTCAGACACATCCGGGAGATGGGCTACAACTGTCGGGTTCCTCGGGTCAAGCCACTTCTGAGCCTGAGCCAACGCAGGAAGCGTCTCAACTGGGCCAAGGAGAAGAAGGACTGGACTGTTGGCCAGTGGTCCAAGGTCTTCTTTTCCGATGAAAGTAAGGTGTGCCTTTCATCCGGGAATCAAGGTCCAAGGGTTCGGAGGAAGATGGGTGAGGAACAGAACCCAAGCTGCTTGAGGTCCAGTGTGAAATATCCACAGTCAGCCATGATTTGGGGTGCAATGTCTGGTGCAGGTGTTGGTCAACTCTGCTTTCTTAAATCCAAGGTCATCGCAATAGTCTACCAGAATTTTTTAGAGGACTTCATGATTCCTTCTGCTGAGGATCTGTATGGAGATGCAGATTTCATCTTCCAGCAGAACCTGGCCCCTGCCCATACTGCCAGAAGCACCAAACCTGGTTTGATGCCCATGCCATCACAGTGCTTGACTGGTCAGCCAACTCGCCGGACCTAAACCCCATTGAGAATCTATGGGGTGTTATCAAGAGGAAAATTAGGGGCACCAGACCCAAAAACAAAGAGCTGACAGCAAGCATCAAGGAAATCTGGGCTACCATAAGTATCAGGCAATGCCACAGGCTGATTGCCTCAATGCCACGGTGCATTGAGGCAGTGATTAAGGCAAAGGGATTCCCAACCAAGTATTGAAGATTGGCATATCATTTTGAAAGTACCATATTTTGATTGATTTGATGTGATCCTATTTTTTTTCTGCAAAAACTGAGACGTAAATGGTGATTTCTTCACAGTATTCAAATTTTTTGAATTCCTGTTTTCGGGGGGTTTATGAGCTGGAAGCCCAAATTGTGTAAAAATTAACAAATAAATACTTGAAATTGTTTAAATTGTGGGACCTGAATCTATAATCTATGAAAGTTTAACTTTTTGAATGGAATTATGGAAATTAAACAACTTTTCCATGATATTCTAATTTTTTGGAAAGGGTCTGTATATATTCACAGTATGAATAAATTTGAGGACAACTGTATTTTAGGCAGAATGGAGTTTACTGGGAGACAAACTAGAAGGTGTTCAGTTAACACTTTAACAATTATTCATAAATGTGCCCTTGCTGATGTCATGCTTTTCATTATATATGTTGTTTCTGTCAGAGTAGTGTTTGATTCCTGGAATAATGACCTTTATTTATACAGCACTTTTCCAAAACAAAGTTACAAAATACTTTACAGAAAAATAATTTTAAGAAATATATATATACTAAAGTAATAAGAACCAGAACTTAACAACAGAGAAGGACAATAACAGAATCAAATAATTTGATTAAATACAGCAGCAATATTCAATTAGGGCATAAAAAGGTTTGTTTTACGCATAAATTTAAAACATGAAACTGAGTTTGTCTACCTGAGATCCTCCAGCAGGGAGCTTCAAATTTGAGGGGTTCCTTCACCTTTACTGATAAGGTGGAAGTTAGGAAACAGTAGTCAGGCCTTGTCAGACAATCTCAAACAATGTTGAGGCTCACGCCGATTGTTGTTAGTCATTAGTTGTCATTTGTCCCTCCCATCAAGTATGTAAATAAGGTAACAATAGATCATCAACACCTTAATGCATGTTACAAGTGGCTTGGAAATTAGCATTAACCAGAAGTAACACCTGCTGACAGTGGTTGTTTCAGGTTTGTTGTATTAGACAGTGTTCACTTCATACAGTTTTCTTAGAGCATATCGATAATTTGATAGCCTAAACATAATAAAGAGCAACATTGTTCTTTTTGCATCAAAAGAAACAGTAACAGCCAAAAATAATGCTTAAGATCAACTTAAAGAAGGTCAAGTGCCTGTTCATACCACAAGATGGAGGTGTGTGGATGAGGATGCAGCAAATTGTGGCCGTTTGACATCCAAGGAATGCAAGCACAAGACAAGCTCACTGTTTTAAATCTCAAAATATACTTCTACAGAGGACTATTAATAAAGACAAATGTTTTTTTAAATATAAGAAAGAGAGTACTGTGCATAAAGAAACTCAGGCCAAAATATAATCTAAGGGTTTAATCAGTCACCTGAGCTGCAAGTATCCATCTCTGAATCAGAGTGAATCAGAGCTGGAAGCTGTGAGCAAGTTTTGGCATGTGTCAAACAAAAGCCCATCGCTATACTTTCAACATGTTTGTCTGGTCTTACGCTAAGCTTCCAGTGCTAGGCACTTCACACGAGCTGCTGGAAGGCTAAACACATTCAATTCAATTCAATTCAATTTTATTTGTATAGCGCATATTTACAACAACAAGTCATCTCATAGCGCTTCACAAAGGCAGAAACAGAAACACCCAACAATCCAAAACATCTGGATTCCCTATAAGCTTCAGCAGTCCACAACAGT